CTTTATTTTTTATGTGCAAATTTTACTCCTAGGTTCTTTACCCAGAAAAATTAAAATATATTTCCATATGAATACATTCCTGTTTCTTTTTTGCTATATTAGTCTGATTTTTTGTTGCTATTATACAACACTAATGAAAAGCAACTTGGGGAGGAAAGGGCTATCCTTCCACCTGACAGCCTGCATTGAGGAAAGCTGGGGTGGGGAGCGAACTGCAACCTAGGCCGTGGAGGATTGCTCATGAGCAGCTTCCCTTGGGAAACAGAACTCAGGGTTGGGGATTCAGTGAGCGGTCAGCCTCTCGGGTTATCACTGCTTCGTACGTGTAGAAAATTCAATAGGATGGCTTCAAATGATATCCCTCATGAATCATGAATTAGTAGTACGAATTACTGAGAGAGGACAAGAGAGCACATATGCACTAGAGAAAGACACAGGGAGAAACAGTTAATAAACACTTACCTTCTTATAATTCTAAGAATTACATGGACAGTACTTTTGTATTCAACTGATGACACTTGAACGATCTAGAGACTTAAACGCTTTGTTTTCAAGGTCAAATCAAATTGGAGGCAATCATTCTTCCTCCCACTTATAAGGCCTAGGTAACTTGTCTTGGTAAAGCCAGTACTAAAAACGTCTTCTCTTTTAGACAGGTAGTTAAAGTTCCATACAGAACTCATTTCTGACTGTCAAAACCAGAATTATTTGCAAGCTATAGATACATACAACCTTGTGGGCTGACACCCCACTTACCTGCTAAATCAGCTAAAGGATTATCTTGTCTTTTATGTGTGTTCAGGAGCAGAAAGCTATTTAAAATTCCTTCTGTAGAGAAATTCTATTAGCAGTATGCTCTTTCCTTGGCAGCCCTAAAAGCAAGTAGCCCAGTAATTTGCCATCATATTTTTAAGCTATTTTGGGTTACTAGTTTAAAAGTCGGATGTACTCTATGAGAGGAAGAGATAGAGTACACCCCCCACATCCATACAGCACCATGTTTACCAGAGTCCTCTGTTTGCACTGTTGCCTCCAAACCTGACGGTTTCCAGTGTAAGCCACTGTGTATTCGCATAGCAGCATGGAAATATGGAAGACACTGGTGGGTGAAACCACAGATAGGTAGATTGTACCTTTACCTGTCACTCTCTGTATGTTTGAATATGTAGGAACAAATAGACTACCCCTTCACATATGAGTTTTAATGTGCCCTAGAGGGAAAAAGAAGAAAGAAAAAAGAGTCACTGTACCATTAAAAATAGTCACAGGCACGGCACTACTGCAAGAAAAAAATCATTGAGGCATATCTCCGGTAATTTGAAGACGGATTCTAACTGATAGTGAACCTCAACACATTCTGAATTGTAAAATGGAGGAAAATAAAGGGCCAAGGGAGACTGGCAATAATCATTACCACTTGCTGGGTTCTAAATGTGCATCAGAACCGTAACCGGTGCTTTGCTTAAGAACAGGCTCCCGTCTAAGATGACACATTTACTTAGTGTTCAGTACATGCTACTCTTACCCATGGAGTAACCTTAGAGTTATGTTCTCTCTGTGTCTCTGTCTCTCTCTCTGTCTCTCTCTCTGTCTCTCTCTCTGTCTCTCTCTCTGTCTCTCTCTCTGTCTCTCTCTCTGTCTCTCTCTCTCTCTCTCTCTCTCTCTCTCTCCCTCCTTCCCCACACTTTTGTCTACTGTTTTCAATGAGAAACTGCCCCTTTGAGTTTTATCAACTTGTTCAAAATCCTATGCACCTGAAAATGTCAAGTAACCAAACCAAGATAACCTAACTGAAGAGATGACACTGGATAGCAACCTCCCCTCCCTGTGTTTGCAGCTCATTTCTAGCCTCCAGCTGAACCTAGTTAAGGTGGATGCTGTTCCTCCTATTGTAAAGTTGGCAGCTAACTATAACTTAAAAGCTTACTTGAGAATCATGGATTAAGGTTGAAATTTCTTTAGACTGTTTGAGAATCATTGTGCTTTCCATAGTATCGTACTGCCTTTGTGACAGTATCTAAAATCACTTCTAAATTCATTTGTCATGTATTTAACAAACATTTGTTGAGCATTTTGGGGCTCTAAGGACGTTCTATAAGAAAGGCACATTCTTATAGGTCACACTTTAACAGGGATAGATAGACAGTAGATAAATAGCTCCATGAGCCCACGTCCAATCTTAGTGTGTATAAAAAAGTAAATTAAAGCTTTGTAAATGGCTAGGAAATAATGGGATAAAGAAAGCGCAAGTTCCTTATGTAAGATGGTCACCACAAAGAAGCCTGATGCCTTCAGTGGTCCTCCGGTTCTACTGTAGCTTTCTGTCACAAGTGTCCTGATTCTTATAGCACCTAAAGTTCAATCTGACTTTTATATCATTCTAGCTTCTAGAAGAATATGTTTGGCCCACTATTTCATTGTTGTTGTAATGTTGTGTTGGATTTACTTTATATATATTTACTATACACACACACACATACATATATTACAATTACTAGTCTATGTGTTTGGGTCTCAAAGTGCCTTCACACCCATGGTTTTTTTTTTTTTTTATACTATGAATGTGCAGGAGACTTTATGATAATTCCTGTGATAAGCCCATTCCTTTCCAAAGCTTGACAGATTGTTTGCTCCTAGCTTACCAAGCCTTTTGCTGACCTTGGACTTCTTCTCTACCCCATAGGTAGTCACTACCAAGCAATTGAAAGTCTTTCAAGATTTGAGGCTCATTTTGGTTCCTTCCCTAGGAACCTTCCAAGCAACAACAAAAATAAGTTAATATGAGTACATAGGGCAGGCACTCATCCTTGGGAGATATCCCCAAGACCTGGAGTGAATATGTGTGTGTGTGTGTGTGTGTGTGTGTGTGTATGCACTATATAGTATGTTGTTTCATATAACACACTCTGTGACTGTTAAATGATTATTTGAAGAAAAATCTAATTTCAATCATGGTTTATCAAAAATACTCAGCTTACTAAGGTGAACATGTCCGCATATGTTAGGAGATGGTACCTTTAATGCAGCTAACCATATGTGTTCTCCTCATCATTGACATTTGAGGTGTATACGGGTTATTCCACACCAGCTCCTAAAGGAATGATGTCAGGAACTAATGGAGTGACTTTAATTGAAGAGCACTTCTATTGCAAAGTGTATGAGGGTGAGATGTGTTAAATTTGCTTTTGCTTTTCTCTAAAAAGCTGCAAACCTCCTTCCCTATAGTAATTAAAGACAAACAGCAACCATTAACTTACCGTGGGGTTCTAATGGCCATAATATTGCTTTCTTGCATGGATGACTTACTGATCTAAAGCAAAGCAATTCAACACTGAAATTATCTTGAAAATTAAAAACCATCCAAGATAATGAATAGTTTCAATTTCTCTGGCACCGATTTATGTGTACTCTCCCTTTTTAATGCATTCTTCTGTGCCTGCACAGCTTGCTCACTAACAGACTAGCCTCAGCGAGATTCCGTACCGCAGAACAGTACACCAGCCTCAGTTTCTGAACATGCTGGCTATCAGAGTGATTTTCATTCATTAATTTGCTCATTCATTCAGCAAACCTTTATTGAGAAGCTTGTGTACGTTATTGTTTTCCAGGGTGCTTCAGGAAATAAAGGAAATATAAAGTTATTTGCTCCCAAAAGAAGTATTTTTGTGCGCTTTAAATCAAATTTTATTTTAATTCTGTCTTTTATTTAGTTAATTGTTTTATAACTTATTTACCAACACTGTGTGGCTAGTTGTTTGGGTAAGTTACATTTGGGAATGGGAGCATTAAAGTATGTGGATTGAGCATCCCTTATAACAAACATTCGTCCATATTTCTAATATTTCCTAGAAATTGATTTTTTTCAAGTAGAAGGCTAGCAGGCATGACCATAAAACATTGCCAGAGTAGATCCAGAAAGGAAATGGAAGCAGAAAGTTGGAATCGTTTCCCACAACCACCAACAATGTGAGAGCGCATGCTCCTGCCCCTTCCTCTCCTGTGTTAAAAATATGAATAATCGCTGTATGTCATCTGTCATTGACGGTTCCTCTTCGGAATTGTGCAAAGTTTGTTTTTAAGAAAAATGTAGTTCTGAGCAAAAGTTTTCCAATAATACTGAGTCTATATATAGATGCCAAGAAACCATCCAGATTCCTTTCTTGCCCACTAATGCTGAGTCTCCAAATCTTTAATTTTTATATGTAGCCATGTTTTGTCTTCATGCATGCTTGTGCAGCAACATGTGTGCCTGGTGCCTCATGGAGGCCAGAGGGACGTGTCAGATCCTCTGGAACTGAAGTTAGAGGTCTGTGTCACCATATCAGTGCTGAGAACTGTACCTCTGTCCTCTGGAAGAGCAGCCAATGCTCTTAACCTCTGAGCCAGCCCTCCTGCCCCCAGTTTTGAATCTTAATTCTCATAAGTAGATTGAAACAGTTAAGCACTAGCATAAATGCAAGAAGACAAATATATGTTCCTTTTATTGAGGCGTGTTAAAGATTTTAAGTATGTATAGTGTGAATTAAGTAGCAAAACACTATATTTGGTGTTTGGGTTTTACCTGTAAGCAGGTTTTTTTTCTTATACAAAGGAAGAAACGTATTCCATGGTTATCCATAGAATATTTGACTACAGTTACTTTATTGATTTTCTTCATTTTGGGTACATATAGAAATTATCTATTTATGAATCTATACAGTAAGTCATTATTAAAGTCAAGATGACCTTAGTCAGTGGACTCTACAGCTGATGTATTGTTTGTCTGGTCTGTTTAAAAACTTAACTTTGCCCCTTTTGTTTCCCAAAGCCACACTTGTTATCCATGGTTCCCACAGACAGTTTAGATGCTGAACCACAGCTTACTTTAGGGGAACCTGGGTTTGATTTCTAGGTCAGTCACTCTTCTCTTTCTAATAGCTGTTCTTTCCTTCCTAATTCTGCATCTAGGTTTAAAGTTCCCTTCCTGCTCTTATCTCATTGGTCTCACTGTTTGTTTTCAGAACCATTGGACACAAAAACCGTTTGGTCAAAGTTCCCCGTGGTCACATGTGGGTTGAAGGCGATCACCATGGACACAGTTTTGATAGCAATTCTTTTGGACCGGTGAGTCAGCTTGTACCTTGTTTCTGAGAAAGTTGCCTTTCAAAGGTGGAGAGCCAAGTGTAACCTAATAGTTCACTCTGTTCTGTCAGCCAAGACTGATCAGAGACTTCGTAATGAAACTCTTCATGTTGGGAAAATACCTTTAGGCTATCAAAGTGTGTATGTGTGTGTGTTTCACGAGAGTCTGACTTTCCAGTTGGAAGATCTCCATTTCCTCACAGATAGGTCTTCTGTCTGTTTTCAATTGATGTTTAACCAGTAAAATATGTAAGAAGACATACAGGCAACAATTTTCCTTCATTCAACGCAAAAGTAGTAGAAATCATAGTATTAGTGTAGAAGAGGTGGGTTTCCTTGCTTCCTTTTTTGGTCCCATCTTTGTCTCACAATGAAATTGATGTCAAACAGATTATCAGAACAATGAATCCAAATTTAATATGTTTTAGATGTTGCAAACGTCCTTATAGAGAAGCAAAGACCTTTAAACATTGTGAAACTCACCTACCTTTGTATTAGGTTAAACAAAGACACGTAATTTTAGACAAGTAACTAAATAATGTGGAGAGGCTAAAAGAAGATAAAAATTATTTGAACAAGTAAAGTTTTCTCAGCTATGGCTCTCTATTGAAGAATGTTTCTTGTCTCCAACTAGAGGGAGGACAGCTTTTGCTTGGGAGTTTTAATCCTCTGTGTTCAAGGATAAGGGAGGAGATTAGTGTGCCCACCTCATGTCTGTTGTTTTTCAGATACCCTTAACTCAAAGTAATCCTGTGTCAGAGTGGCATGCTTGGGGGTGGCACATTCTGGGAGTGTTCATAAGTGACATTTTGTTAGCATTTAACTTATAGCAGAAACACAGACACGCTCTATTCTCTGCTTATCCATAGAATGTGACTACACTGATATTTTATGGATTTTTCTTTTACTTTGAGTGCATATAGAAATTTTCTATTTATGAGTCTTCCCCGTAACTCATGAAAGTGGAGAATTTCTTAGTGAGTGGAAACTGCAGCTGATTTTCTTGTTTGTTTAAAAGCCTTAGTTTTCCAAAGTTACATTTGTTATAAATGGACAGGACAAAGGAATTATTTAGCATCCTCACACATGCTTGTGTAAAACATATAGCTCATATTTTGTCAAAAATTAATAGGTTGCGGCCTCTAATAAAAGAGCTTCATATATATGTGTGTGTATATATATACATATATACATATGTGTATATATGTGTGTATACACATGTATATATATATATATGTATGTTTTGAAGAGCCCATGTTATTGCCACAAAATATGCTGTCACTTGGGCTTAACTTTGGTGAAAAGCGTAAGAACTAGATTTGAATAAACATGTGGGATTGTGGGAGAAATTTTAACACACCATTCCTTTTTCTCTCTAGTCATACTAATGATGATTTTTATAAACTCTCAAGGCCTATAATTGCCTTTGAGTAGTAATTATATAAAAATATTACTTAACCTAAATTCTACCAAAGATGAAAGAAAAATGAGAAAGGTTAGAAATGTCTTGTGCTTCTTATAATGCAGGAAAATTAGTGAGGAACTCTAGTAGTGACTTAAAAGAAAATAAATCACTTGAATATAGGTGTATTTTTTTGACCAATAAGAGTGCATGTACCACATTGTTGGTCAAGTCCATAATAAATGGTATTTAACTTCTGTGACTTCATTATTTTAATGATATCGAAATGAAGTATTAATTGTGTTGTTTCCTATCAGGTGTATGTTAAGCTACTGATAATAAAGTCCGAACGTTTGAGGGATTTGGTATTTTGTTCATTTTAAACTGAAGCTGGTAAAATGCTGATAATGTAATTATTATGACTGCCAATCAGTTGCTTTCTCTTTGCTTTCTTGCTGGACAAAGAAAAGGAGGGCTGGAAGGATTGCTTGTGGGCAAAGGCTTGTTATGTAGGTGCCTTTGATGCCCAGAACTCATATAAAATGCACGGCATGGTGGAAAGTACCTCTACTCCCAGCCCTGAAAAGGAGGACACAAGAGGATGAGACTCACTGGCCAGCAAGTCTGTGCTAATGCAGAGCTCCAAGTTCAGTAAGGGATTCTGGCTCAAAACTATAATCTGTACAGGGCTTGAAGACGACATTGGATGTCAACTGCTGCTCCTGCCCCAAGTCCACATACATATACACACGCACAAACCAAGGCATACATACATATTAACAAGTATGCACTCGTGACTGTGCATATACACAGACATTTTTAGAAATAGAAAAGACAATAATAAAATGGGGAGTTGGATGCTGGGAATTTCATAGTGTCTGAAATGTGTTCTGTGATTGTTCAGCTCTTGTGGCTCCATTTTCTGCCCTGCTTCGAATCACTGAACTGTGGCTATAAAGACACCCACAAAACAATAACCAATGTGGAAGTGTCCTTTTTGTAAAACGGAAGAGAAGAACTACCTGTGAGAGGTGATCTCATTGCATTTATTACAATGAGAAATTATAGCACATAAAGCTTTGGCAAACATGTATGTATCTCTGAAGGCCATTTGATTTACACTAATGTTTTAGGTGAAATCTATTTGTTAATTATAGTATAATCAATAATTTAAGTAAAAACAAAATTATTTTGAAATCTAGTAGTCCTCCTTTTTTATGAAGGAAAAATATTTATTCAAGCCTACTTTTAATTTATGAGTTAAACAAAGCTGTTAATTTCCATTCAGGAAACTAATATTATTTCTATTTTCCAAAATTAAATGTAATACCTTCTCTAGAATTAAAAAAATCAATCCCTCACATCATAGACTAAACTATTTGTGCTCACATGAGTTTTAATAGCTGTGTGTTTGCTTTTAGGATGTGCTCTTTGCTTCTGCTCCAATAGCATCTTCCACTGGGAAAACTTCTGAGTTCCCCAAACAAAGCAAAACAAAAAGCACCAAACAATCCAATACATTCCTTATAAGTTTAAGCTATGATTTTTGAGCACAGAATTTTATTTTATTTGACTATTTGGTTGGCTGTTCCGAGTATTTATGTATCTCTGAACACACAGTCCTCCTGCTTTGACTTCCACAGGTCTGGGATTCCAGGTGCACAGCACCACAACTGACCCGAGTGTAGAGATTCTGAACATGTTTTCTATTAACTGTCGATTAAGTGATTCATCTGTTAATCATTTTAATTTTTTTGATTCCAAGCATTGAATTCTAACTATTCTCTTAAACTAGAGTCTTGAGAATTACATTTTTTGTGAACTTCTCAGTGGAGAGGTTGCTTGCCTGCCAGTGTATTTAAAGATTGTGCAGGGCAGGTGAGCGAAATTATGTTTCATGTGCATTCCTGATTCAGCTCTCCCATCGAATAGGTAGTGGGCTCTCCTTGACACTGGCAGCTCACCTGATGGAGTCGGGGTTGTCTGGGATACTTCCCTCCCGTGTACAATGAACCAAACTTTGTATTTGGCTCCCACTCAGCTTCACAGTGGATGCCACTGCTTCTCACATATGTCTCGTCTTGGACAGTAATCAGCCTTGTTCTAGAATCTTCTTGGTTTGTTCCTTTGTAGACAATGGGTTAACTGACTACTGTAAGTGCGGTTAGATGGCTATCACTAGAGTCTAGTTATGCCAGTTTAAAGCTCCCCCTGTGCTCAAGTAAACATTCAGGTGTAATCCACCAGAGAAGATTCAAGACAACAAATGTCTCATCCTGATATCTTTGGGTTTTGCTGTTTTATGACTTCCTGTGTACTTCTTATTACTGTCATTTGCATCTTTGACTTGTTTTGCTGAAACTGTGTAGGCTAAAAATAGAATTGACTGATATTATGAATGAAAGGTTAATAATGGCTTATTAATATAGTATATTAACAATAAGTTGCAGCAACCAAGTAATTCACAAAAGGAAGAGAAATCGTAGATAACTTCTAGTCCAACATTTATATTCAGTTTCTTGAGGAAGATGTCACTGAAAGAAACTAGAACACTCTTGTGCAAAACAGGCCACAAAATCAAGCAAGAGTAGATAGTTTTGGTTATGAACTCTCAGTTCCCCAACTGTACAAATTTCTATCTTCACATGATTAAGAAGAAAAGACCCCCTTCTCTAAATCAATTGTAAATAAGTGATTGGTAAAATGAGCATATTCACACAAAATAAAAATTTAATACATGACCTGAGCAAATTAGCATGGAACTTTAATTAAATAACATGATTTAGCCATGGGGTAAATTTGATGCTCATGAAAGTATGCTTATACACAGTTTTGATAAAGGTATAATCACTGTAATATTGAATGAATACATAAAAACAAGGAGGTGACTATACAGCGTTTTATGTTAGACCAGTGTTTGCTTCTTCTTATGCCATTGTAATTGCCCACATTTTAATGTTGTTGCAAGAATTTTACGACCTTTATAATTATAAGCATCTATTTTGTTTCAAAGCTAGTTTAAAGATGATTGAAAGTAAATGGCATGTAAAGCCGAATCTCTCTTCATTCTATAAAAATGCTTTTCAATACTGTGACCAGATGGAAAAATATCAGATGTGCTTGGGTGTGAAAACTTTTGATTATGGTTAACAGTATCCCTACGAAATATCTTTATGCTAAACCTTTTGGGTAATTTACACAATAATAGAAAATACCTTCTTACATACGAACTCCAATTTATTGCTTCAGCATGGATTCCTAGTGTGAGAAATAACTTTCATAAGTTTCTTTTAAAATTATGATAATTGGGAAAATTCAGAGTCTACAGCTACTTGATTTTATTGAATTTTGTTAAAATGGTATCAGAGGTAGGTTTAGGATTACTTGGACTATTTTCTAGGCATTTCTCATAGGAACTCTTCTGCTCTGGCAATGAAATTAGGATCTTCCCCTTGGCCACCCCTACTGTTAGATGACATTAGTGCATTTTCTGAAGTAGCCATGTCATTCCCTGTCAGCACCCAGAAGTAACTGTTCACTGCAATTGTTAATCTTGCTCTGCTTCCCATGTGGATGTGTG